TGCTGTAAGAAACTTAACATGGGCGACTTTTTACCTATTGTGTAGCTGTGAAAAATGGCCCTTTGGGCAAGTAGGACAGCAATCGTCTAGCAAGCCCTTGCTCCTCTTGAAAGGCCACACCCAGGAATGGCAGGCTATTGTGGTGCCTGCAATAGCCAGTACAAACTTCCTGGCTATTGCAGGCACCACAAATGGAAGATAGGTACAAGAAAAAAAAAGTTATGCCAAAAGCTTTGGTAGGAATTTGCCTGTGGGCAGAGGCAGGATGAAGAAAATTGGCAAGCTTAATTTCTCTTGTCATCAGCGATCCTGCCTGGCAGTGCAGTGGGAGGAACAACCCTCATAAAAATGTCCTCCAGCCACAGCAGAAGAACATCCACGTACGACAAAGGGAAAAAGGCATCCTTTCTTTCTTGAACCTCTGCTATATATTGCTCACATCTTTTGAAGATTACAAGACATTTTATAAACAGAAAGACAAAATTAAAGACATTTCTACATGGTGTCTCCATAAACTAAGAATTTGAATTACCATGTAACCTGTGTAGATATGGAGAAATATTAAGAAACAGTGTTATATTTATAGCATTTTATTTTTAATGGAAAAATAAAGACAATGCTTTAAAAATTAATATTTACTTAGAAACATGTTCCTTCATGTAAATTATGCAAAGTAATAAAAGTATTTTACATAAATACTACTGCATGAGGGGAGAGAGAAGCTCCCACCTGTTTTAGTGGGATAGGATTCTAGTCTCAATATAAACCTGAGTGTTAGTCACAATCAGCCATCTATTATAATTTAGTTGGTTTTTGTTTTTGTTTTGCTACTGCTATGGAATTTTAAACTAGCTAACAGCACTTACAGTTTTTCAAAATACGTTTTTTTACAAGTTTACCAAAATACATATTATGATTCCATTATGTTCTACACCAACAGTCCAGAACCTGGGGAGTAATCACAACTTATCACTGGAATCATTGCAGCAGCATTTGGAACAATGTATTTCCCAGTACCTTGTCATTTCCTGAATATGGTACTATGATTTTATCTGAAGCAATTGATGAGAAAAAAAAATAATAATTTGCCACTAAGTGATCAGATTACAGTTTATGGAAAGATGAGCTTGGAGCATATCATAAACAGTCACTGAAGCAACTGAACTGCAGTAGATACACCTGTCGGAAAAAGGGGAGATCATGTTCCCCAATTATGATTTTATTTACGTCCCACATTGTCTTGGAGAGTGTTGTAACAGAGGCGCCGGACTGACAGTTTTACCTTCCATTCTTTCTAATAAGTATCCCATTAGCAAAATTTAACATGTGACCACTGGGTTCAAACTACCATAATTTTACTTACAGTTAGTATATGTAGTCAGTATGACTGTATGCCTACTATTTTAAAATTCTTATTTCTTAGGAAGTTGAAATATCAAGACCTATAATTATTCTAGTGAAAAATCAACTTTGAATTAACATCACCATATTAAATGATCACATAAAATATTCCATGTTAGTGGTGTGACAGATCCTGGAAAGGGCCTTCTGTTGCTATGATTAAAATATATGTTAGAAAGAATGACTATACTAGAGAACTGTATTTCTACATGCAGTCTTCAAAGTAACAAGCGAGAGAATGTAAAATTGGTATGTGTCAACCTTACAGAAGTCTTTATAAAACAGAAAAATACTAGTACACACTAGAAGACAAGGTTTAATAAGTGATAAAAATGTACAAAAATATTCAAATCAGAAAGATTTTAGTCTGTACCACAGTAGTCAATACTCCTGAATGAATAGGCAGATAGTACTTCATCAAATCAACATTAGATAGAAGTTATTTAGTACAAAGGAAGAGAACAGAATGAAAGGAAAACAGGTTTTAAACATCAGGTCAACACATCTCAAAAGAAAAATATTACATCAACATTGATTTTCTAAACAAGAGTATTGCAAGTGCTTTTCAAAATTTGGTGGTACATTCTTCGGAAAGTCCTTAAGGCAACATATTGCAATTAATTTAGTCTGGTTTTGTGATTTGCTGAAACAATGCCCTCTGCCAATTTTATTTTTTAATATTCCAGATTTTTTCCTCTATTAAAAGTGAAAGCTATGATATTTCATAAGTATATTTTACCACATTTATAATTAAGGGCCTAATAGGATTTCCATCAATCATCTAGTTTTCACAGTTTTAAAACTTAACACTAAAAATTAAGCTCTGAGTATAACTCTTGTATACATTTCAACCTACAGTCAATGTTCAATAGAAATCATCATCATCAATTTGGCCAGAAGGGTAATGCTCAAAAACCTAACACTGGTTCCTGGATTACCATAACTCAAAACAAAAAACAAAACCATCTTCCCTCTTCCTTTCCTGTTTGAAAAGTAGTAACAACTCAACACAAGTGGAACCACAAGAAAATTATAGAGCTTCTTTCCAGAAGGAACATGTGCACCTGCTCCCTGCCCTTAGACCTTATTTGACAAGGAAAAGAAGTTAATGACTTTCTAGCACGAGCCATTTTAGAGATGAGAGGCCTGAAAGGCTTGAATACTTTTTCAAGCCACTGTTTAAAGAGTTTTTTTAAAAAAGAAGGTTTTTCTGCTCATCCTAATGTGCTGTCTGAAGAATGAAAAGGTACATGGGGGATATATACAGGCTATCTAGATGATAAGAAATAGGACTTCAGGTTGAATCCTGAATATTGACCGTCTTTGCCAAACTGCTACCAGTGTCAAATATTTCAGTTATTTAGTTATGCAAGAGAACCGAAAAGCCATCATTATGCCATTGGAACTCAGAACATTGGAATCCGTTTCCCGAAATTAGTCATCTATATCTTTATTAAATCACATTTGTAAACATATTTGGTATAAATATTTCTTATTGATCTTCATCCAGTTGTTCCAAGAGGGTCCTCCTTTGTTTTTCAAGTTCGCCTTCACTTAATTCACTACCAGAGGTATCCCAATTACCCTGCAAATGGAGAATGACAAAACGTTCAGTATACCTTTGAATATAGTTCAGAATTCAGTTACTTCAGGTCAGGGACCAACAGCTCCCCTACCCCCATCTTCCACAATTGCTTTATTTTATTGGGCTGCACCGCTTATACATTCCTGCTGCATACACATATATATTCCATATTAAGAAATGCAATTTGGTTAGCAATAGGCAATACAGATTTCATACTTCAAATATTTGAAGCTGAAAAAAGAGATAACTGCAAACCTATTTCTATAAAATCCTACACTAAAACTAAATATACTTTTCTGTTATGCGAATGGAGAATTTCAAGTGGTGATCTGGGTATACAGAGAACTTAAGTAGCAACTTTAAGGCAACATCTAACACTGTGTGAGCAGTCTGATGCTATTCCCCTACTCACCTTTGTTTGCACCCACCCAAAATTAGCATTCAAAATACTGATCAGCCTGATACAGATTTGAGAAATGTTTCAGTAGCAGAAGAATCCGTTCCATCAAGCAGACTGACATTGATAGACAACTGATTGATCCAATCCAAGACTCTTTTTTAAAAAAAATCTGAATGATATTCCTTACACATTCCCCAAGGGCTGGTTACAAAGTATTTTTACAACTTCCATCAGGAATGGTTACTGGCATAACAACACTAAACTATTATGCTGTCTAGGATGAAGATTCATTGACTTTTTAGTTACTATTAAATATCAATTTTAAATATTTTAAAAATACAACTTCATGCTTGAAATTCTCATTTAGTCACTTAAGTCAAAGCTCATCAAGTTTTTCATCACTTCAAAGCCAGATGAAACAGATCAGGTGATTTTTGAATCCTCAATCCAAGACATATGGAAGATTGGAATATTTTAAAGTGTCAATTTAAACCTATAGCTCTGATTCCTCAGATGAACTCCTATTTATGTATTAACCAGAACTGATCCTAATTAGCTATCTAGATAAATTTAAGATCAGCTGGGTGCTGTTACTTAGCCAGACTCTGCTATCTTTATTTAAAATATATATATATATCCCAGTATTTATTAGACGATGAGCAAATAACTGTCACACTGCAAACGATCTCCTTCCCACATCTCAAATCACTGTCCAAGTTAACCATGGTAAGGCATTTATGTGTTCAAGCAAAAACTGTTTTTGATAATTACTTATACAATAGCCTGTGTAAAACCTCCGGAGGTCATGATATGATCCTGTTATTTGTAAACTTAATTTTTGTTGCTATTTTCAAGTGCCATTCTGCATGTCAAAAACATACTAATTAAAAGGATATAATTTCTACCATTATGTAGATGAATGTCACTTAATACGTGTTGGCATAGGAGATGCTATGGGAATCTCATTTTTGGCAAATGCTTGTACAAACTGACCTCATCTGCTCCTGTTCCTCTTTGATTAAATCTCTGATATGAATGGATTTCATTGAGTCCCCAAATATTGACAGTACTTCATATCCTACTAAATATTCTGAGATCTTTTAAACATTGCATTTTAAAGAAAGTTTGGTTTCTACAGGTGGGCAAACCTGTGCCAACTTCCCTTCTTTTTGTCTCTCCCCCATTCTCACGTTCCCCAAGCCATACCATGCCACACCCACACACAAACCCAAATCCAAGCCCAAACGCATCTGGCCTTACCCTAATCTGCTCTACTTCTTCTGATGCTTCTTGTAGTCGAACGCTGTTGGGTGCAGGATTGTGCTGGGGAGAGAGCATGCCAGAATGACCTTTCCCATGCAAACCACACCTTATCCAGCCCACCAAACAGCTCTCTGGCAGGCCAGGGTGATGATACGTTTTGTGGGAAAGAGTTTTTGCAGAGATGATCTGCCATGTACCAACTGTGTTACCAGAGTCTTCTGAACAGTTATTTGGCAGGTTGTGCTGAGAATGATTTGTACGTGGGGAGCAGCATGCAGGCTGTTTCCTGCAAGCTTCCTCCCCAGCATTGTTCTTATATTTTCCCCAACTTGCTGAAAAGAAAGAGTGTGTGTGTGTGTGTGTGTGTGTGTGTACTGAGCAGGGGGCACATGCAGTAGGCCATACCAAAGAGTGTCAAGGATTGTATGTGCTCCATGGGGGGGCCATGTGTGATCAAAATAAAACTGTGGTTATGGGATAGAAATAGATAGAACTCCATAAGCCACATATGATTCAAAAGAGTTGCAACCATTAATATACCGAACTTGGTAACATAAAACAAACTTACAGAATCTTTGCCAGGTCGCTTCTTAGGTGGTGATTTATGCTTAGATTCAGATCTTTGTCTACTTCTTTCTTTTTCATTTTCTCTTTCTTTTTTGTCTCTTTCTCGATCCACATCTGATTCTGGAGAATCCTGTGTAAAGTAAAATAAAGAATATAAATCGTAAGAAGTAGTAAATTGCAATTTGTAATCTACTGCAATTTCCAGTATACTACCCTAAGATTCTTGTTAAAAATGCAAAGCAACATCTACATACATACTCTGAATCAATTTGTCCAAGTAATTTTCATGTACCCCAAAGTGGTGCCCTAAAGCTCTGTTGGACTACACCTTCCAACTTCCACTAATTCTTCTACCAAATCTTAAAGTTTATTTTAACAGGAGATGCTAAGTCAAGCCAACTAGAATATGGATTCTGGCCTTTCCCTTTTGTTCAGTAGCTTGACACTTCTATGCCTTAAGCACTGGCACACCGAGATTCTAGTTAATAAAAGGAGGAAAAAAATTTCAAGACTGAAGTTGGCCAACCCTTATAAAAATTGTACTGCTTCTTTCTGTATATTATTATTGTGAAAACAGAAATGGGTGACAGTCAACCTAAATATGCAATAATGCTATTGCAAATAGGTCTACAAAACAATTGAATCTCATTTAAAAAACCCTAATCCTTGGTTGCAGTATAATCCATTAGCATGAGGCTGCCTGTCTCCGACTGTTTCTGGTCACCTCACCAGAATGAGCAGAGTTGGCACGTTCCAGGTACTGTCATCCCTTCTTGGTCGCTATGCCTGCCCTGTGGGACAGCAGTTCCCCCGAAATCTGGATGGCCCCGACCCTGTTCACCTTTTCTAAGGCTTTCAAGACCTGAATGTTCCTACAGCCTCCTTGTTTCAACACTTTGTGATTTTCTGAGTCACTGAAGCCGTATGGTTCTTCTAACTCAGGCATGTGATGCAATAATTTTTTTTTTAATACTGATTTTTTGGTTTTAATCTTTATATGCTGCCTAGGGCCACCTCAGTGAGATAGGCAGTTATACAAATAGCATGTATAAATAAATACATACTAACAAGCTATAAGACAGACGTATTGGTGTAACAGGATGTGTTCAACACTAAGCTCATCTAGATAATAACATTATAACAACACATACACTGCACATAAATAATCTGCAAGCATAATAAACCTACTGGTTCAACAGAAACTTTCAACTGGGCTTTTATGATGAATCCGTACCAGAATTTGGGGGCAGAAGGTGTGTTATCAAATACCACAATGTTTTTCAACAAAGCTAAGCTTAAATATACTCATTTACTTAGGGGAAAAGGCAATTATTTTTATGGGTTTTATAAAAATAAATGTCAGCAGAAAGTATTTAGTGATGTCACACATTTATGAAGCAAGTAATATGCTGCCACTGTATCCTGACTTCCTATTATTCTCAGCACACATAGCATAAAAAATTACCAGGATTCAAAATGGTTATTTACATCTTAGTTTAAAAGACTGAAGATATTGAAAATCCTTATCATATTGAAAGATCCAAAACAGAAATACTCACAGACTTATGTCTCCTCTTTTTGCTTTTCTTTTTGTGTTTCTTTGACTTCTTGTAGCTTCTCTCTATTAATGCAAAATGAATTACCAAATGAAATGGAAATCAGGCTACCAAAATTCAGCATTTTTTTTTTTTTTTGGACAAGATTTTTAAAAATACCAGATTCTGCACTGGAAGAACGTTCAGAAATGGATCGTGAGTCTGAGCGTTGCCTCTTTTTCTTTGAATGGCTATCATCATCTTCAGATTCTGAGCCCTTTATAGAAGTAAAAAAGTATGTTAATATTAGCTTTTAAAGATAGCCTTTGAAGTAAGAATGAGTTCCCTGCACCATTTTATTAAAGGCCTTACCGAACGAGAGCGAGACCTCTTTCTATGATGCTTTTTGGATTTTTTAGAATGCTTCTTGTTCTTTGAATGATGATGCTGACACTCATGCTGCAGCATTAAAAGAATCAAAATTACTGCTTTGAAACCGCAAGCATATATTAATCCACACTAACAGTTATAAACTCCTGCTTTCTTCAGTACATGTCTAAATCACATGCGGGCAGTAACAGAAGCTTTCAGAGACCTTCCTTGTGGTCTACATTGACCCTATTCCAGTCTTGTACTGCCCCTCCTCCCCAAATCTCAGCAAGTCTACTAGGAGAGAAAACGGAGCAGGGCCGTTCTGCTGGAGCCCTCTTTTTCAGCACTATCACGTTGCCACAGCCTGCCAGGGACTTCTCATTAATCCCTTTCCTCAGCAGTCTCTGCAGGATGAGAAATAAATCCAGCTGATATCCTGTCACAATCCTTTTTTTTTCCCCTGGAGAAGTGATTGTGCGTGACCAAGGACTGCCAAGAGCAGCTTCTAAGACAGTTGTGTGAGTGCAGATGAAAGATGCAGCTGTTTTAATTGCTGAAGAACAGATCCCCCAAATGCACTCTGAAGCATCTTTTTCGAAGAATTTGCACAACTCTAGTGCTCATGAAGACAACTATCAATCATCAGTAGTATGCTCATCCCTGTGACAAATTGTCATATATTCCTAGGGTTTAAAATGACTGTGATCTTTAGAGTTCACTGTTCGGTGCACGATAATGCTACTGTAAAAAAAATAAAGTATCACCAATGTGTAAGGGAAAAATCATGGATGAGAGTAAAGAGCAGGGGCGGGAAATTCCTAGAACATGTTCTACTGGTTTCCTGCCATCACTGAGCAGCCCCTTGGCTGAAGTTGGCAGGCCTATCTTTTTCTTCCCTTTATCTCCCCATTTCTCTGGACATGTATTGCAGCTGCCATATGAAGATCTTTCTCCTGTCCAGCAATTTCAGCTGTATCAACTAACTATAATACTCTTCACTGGTCATTAACCTGTTCTTTGAGAATTTATACAAATCTATTAGAAAATATTATGTTTAACTGGCATGTCAGATGTTACCTCCAGTAAATAAATGAAATCCTTAAATATTCGTTTTCTCTCTGATTCTAAAGTGATGTCTTCAAATGCTGGCTCTTTCACAAATCTCTCCCGAATCTATATCAAAAAGGAATTATATCAGAAATTCAAATTTATGAAGTAACACATCCCTAAAAAGAAAATATTTTGGATTTCAAAACATGTCACCAAAGAAATTGTTTATTAATCCACATTTCATAGGAATTGCACAGTTCATTTACATACATCCAGATCTTGTCTTTTGTCTTCCAGTGGAGCATTCATTATAGGGTAATCATTTAATTACCGCAGTTAGTGAGTTTATATTACTGTAATTGCATCTTAAACAAGGATTCATTGGTAAAAGTGGAAGCCGGTATTCTTCTGTATGATATTAATTTAGGTTAAGAATTTAGACAGCAATTCATAAGGTGGCATTAACTTTTCCCATCAGCAACAAAATTTTGTTTCCAGCAATAATAGCAGTAACAATATTATTATTCTATGAATTAATAATATTAAACCTAAGACTGTAAAAATCTTTATTTCATAAAGAAACGCCTGTCACCCTTTTTTATAAGAACTCTATTGGCATATCACCTCTCCATTCCATTATTGTTTCTCTGAACTGTTGCTTTAAAATACTTACATTACATTCCTTGATAATATTTCGATTATCATTCTTCTTACACTTTGGAAAAGATTTTGCTGCCGATTACACTACATTAAATTTCTTGAATAGTTGCAAAAAGTTCTTTAATTTTTAGAGTAAAAGAAAAAAAGAATCAAAATGCTGTGTGGCATACTTACATCTTCCCAAACTGCATCTAATTCAATGGGAGGTGTTGCTTGTTTTAACATGCTTTTAAAAGCAGACTCTTTTCGTTTCATTTTGCGAGCTTCTTCTTTCTCTCTCTCACGTTCACGGGCTTCTGCTTTTTCCAACAGCTACATCAAAGATTCAACGGACCATTAAATGAAAGGAACATTGCAGGAAAGGGGAAAAAAGAAGTAATGCAATGTTATTGCAAAGCACTTTTCTTATCATCTGCCACACATAGAAGCTGTTCAGATATACCTACAAAACTATGGCTTGGCATTGCAAGAATTAGATTAAATTCTGGTCTGCAGGTTTGTGTAAATTTTAATTTAGCTGTTCAGATGAAACAGGGACCACTGGCTGGCCTGGTCTTCCACTAAACTAGTATCTGAAAGGAAGCCTACTGATCTCTCAGCACTGAACTTTTAATGTCAAACCAAGATTTGGCATTGCCTAAATAGTTCACTGAATCCATACTTCATCACTGATTAACAATTTATACTTTTGATTCAACAATACTGATACCATATACTAACTAGAGACTTACACTTTTTAATAACACTGGACACATTTCATATCAAGTGGTGTTAACATGTATTGATTAAAAAAAAAAACTTACGCTATTAAAAGCCAGTTTGATATTCCCAGCATCTAATGTGGTAGCTCTTTTAGTTGAACTGATGACCGTTACAAAGTCTTCAAAAGGAGTAGTCACTTCAACTACAAATCCTTTATCCTGCAATAAAATGACTTTGATAATACTGGAAAATGTAGGGATCCCACAGAAACAAAAATTCATATTGCAATACTACTATTTGAAAAACTAGCTCCAGATTTCAAAACAAATGTAATAAATTTGAATCAGAAACACTGATTTCCTCCTAAGGATTTAAGAACTTATGTTACTTCACCTTTAAGATGTCTTTTATTATCTTTTTTTCATCGTGGTAGCGGGCTTTTAAATCTTCAACATAAAACTTGAAAAGATCAAGTGCTGTTGAACCTAAGGAAAGAAACTTATATGAGTCAAGAGCTCTCTTTAATCAAAGAGTTCCATTTCTTAGCAATGTAAGAACTGACCTATTAAAAATGTCCACACACATTATCCAAACATTACTTACTCCAAGCAAGAGAAGATACACTTACCAGGCTGACCAAGCATGTTAGTAAACCTAATATCAGAACTAATAGTTGGATATAACTCCATCCAGGATGACATTGAATGCAGCTGACCATGTTCATGCAACTCATCCAAAAATATCTGGAAAAAGTGGAAAATGGGGAATCTTGTAATAAAAAGTCTCAAATTAAAAAGCAGGCACTGTCCTTTTTACAATCCCAAAGAAGCATAAAGAACTTCTAATGTGAAAGGCAAGTCAGGGATTAAGGTAACAGTCAGAGTTGTAGGGCAAAGTTAGCCCTCCCCATGTACTAAAAATCTCTGCCCAATATCCTCTCCCCAGCTTTCCATAGAGTCAAAGGAGTGAAATCACTGAAATTTGCACAATGCTTAGAAATCACACAAGATTTGGAGAGATTAGTTTCTGCACCCAGAATCAGAACTGTTGGTGATTTTTCACCCAGCCAATACTTAAAATGGCTGAAAGCTCTTCAGTTGATACCAAGCAGAAGTTAGCATTTTCTCAGTAACCTGAAAAGATTCTCTATTTTTTCGCTGTCGTCGCCTTTCTCTGAGTAAGCCTTTCTGTTTCTCCTCTTCTTCCTCCTTTTCCAATGCTCTTATGTGTTCTTCAAAACAGATCAAGGCATCCTCCTTATCCATATCTAAAAAGGCAGCAATAGATTTTTATAAAATTAAATAATATGCCACTTAAAATACAAGTCCTTTTGGTTTGTGATCTTCCCCAAGCTTCAGACACATGCCCTTTTTCTTCCTCTTTCATGCCTGTAAATATTAAACAAGTCAGTGTTGTGTCACACTGAACAGGGTGCTAAACCATTGCAATATAGAGGTATGCAAAACTCTCTGACCCTGAAATTGATCATTTCAAGTGTCCCCAGAGCAGTCTAATTTTAAAATGGCACATGCATAATATTCAGCACAACCTGCTATAATATAAAACACAACCTTTTGAGTTTTGCTTCATGGACTTGAAAAGGTAGATGAGTGCAGCAGGATCTGCATCAAAACGTGGCATAATTCATTTTTATTGTTTCAGTGAAGTAAACCAGTTTGCCCAGAACAGCTACCTTAAAGGAAATTTCTTATTCAAACAAACAAACAAACAAACCAACGGTCACTACTGACACTTTACAAGCTGATTTCATGACACAGTAATTTTAGCAAAAAACCCACATCAGAAGCCATTTTAGCTGGAAAGCAGAGTTCAGAGGTATACAAAATAAAAATAGCTTTCAGCATTAAATTTGAGGACTGGATTTCTTAACCAACTGGCTTCAGGATTAAAAGTGAGATTCCAAAATTATAAACATGCAGTTTATTCCATAACCTCATCCATAACCCAACATGTTCCCAACCTACAGTTCTTTTTTAGGACGGTAATGAAAAAATAAAAATGGTTTTATTTCATACCATTATGAAGGCAAAAAATTGTATGACACAGGGATTCCAAAACTAAGTGGCAGTTTACTGAAAATGCCTACCTAGTTGTCTTATTCATATGCACTAATAATGTAGTTAAGGATTTATTCATGATTCCTCTCGGAAATTGGACATAAAGTATTTATTTCTATATTCACACTATGCTAATTATTTAATTCATAGCAAAATAATTTATTCCCTAATACAAATAAATGTGTCTATTCATGATCGCAAGTTTAAAACTGTATCTCTACGTGTGGGTTCCAGCTATATACCTCCAACCACAGAAGCAGTCTTTGCTGAAAGAGGCAGCTTCGGGAGGATAGGGAAATATTTACTCAGTTCTACGCAGACCCTACCACACTGTCCAAATACATTGCAGAGAGATCTCAACTCTTTGGAGAGGATTTTGAGGGTGTGACTGGAGATGGTGGTTGTAATGGAACCGTAAAGTTATTCTGCACTGGCAGAAGCCTGCTACCATGACTTTTGATTTGATTAACAGCTTTGTTAGATGAGTTGCTGCTGCCAACTAAACTTAAATTTTAATTTTTTGAAGAAAAATAAAATGAAGATGTTATCCTTACTCTGAAGTTCCTCATCTTCTGCAAATGTAGGATTGTCCATCAGATACTGCTGAGCCTCTGACCAAGTTGTAGAGTAAGTAACATTGGCCATATTGTCCAGAATGTTTTTTAATGCCTCCCAGTTCCTCTTCCTTAGCTGTTTGGCTTGTTCCTGAAAAAGACAGACATATAAAATGCAATTATGTTTTCCTAAAATTCAGCATTGCCCATTAATTGTTAAGACAGAAATGTACAAATGTTGAGCAACTGCACCAATTTATGTGTTTCTGCCTGAACTTTCAATTCTGTAAAAATCACTGTTTGCAAGGAAACGTGATAGTTGTCAATCCTAGCAAGAAACTACCTGGCTTTTTAATTTGACTCCTTTCTAGAAAAATCTAACACTACCACATCAAGTTTTCTCTTTATCCCTGTGTTAATAATTTACGAAATAAATTATTCTATCAGTGAAAAATTAGGAACATTAGGCATTCTTATAGCAACCACAAGAGAAATTTACACTCCAAATCTCAAATATATTGTGTTAAAATGTAGATTTTATTGTCTTGGAATGGAAGGCAGGAATTTTTTACCCTGGAAGGAAAACCAATTACCTTTTCTTTTTTTGACAGAAAAAATAGGACATCTTCATAAATTTCAAGGCGATCACGTTCGGAAATTGCATTCCAGACTTCCATCTCTCCAAACATTTGTTCAGCTTTTCTATATATAGGAATATGAAAATCATAAAAGTAATCTATTAAAAACATCTTCATTTGACTTCCACTCTCCCTTGATAGCTACCAGCATCTTATTCCCTCAATTACTTGTAGTATCTAAACTAACATTCTTTCTTCTTGATAAAAATAAAGAAGGAACCAAGGTGCAGTTAACACAGATCTGGAAAGTATTCTGAAGGCCAACTGCTGAAATTCATATTACTGTTCCTCCCCATTTTCTCTACCTCTAACTCAACCCTTCAGTTTCCCTGGCAACTTATCTGCCAATAGGCAAGCAATCCAAAGGGCATGCAGGTAGTCCTCGGGTTACGTCCATTCATTCAGCGACCATTCAAAGTTGTGATGGCACTGAAAAAAATGGATGTATGACTGCTCCTCAAAGTTCATGCCATCACAGTGCCCCTGTGGTTACATGATCAAAATTCGCCCCACCCTGCATTTACGACCACTCCTGCTGTCACCACCCCAACCTGCCTTAAGTTCCACAGTGCTGGATGGCCTCAAGCCCAAGCGCCACAGTAAGCCCTGCGCCGCATCAAACCCCACGCTCCCTAGCGCCCACCAATGGCACCTGCCCCTGGCCTGTAGCTGTATTTGCCTGGGACTCCTGCCTCTTCCCATGATGTGGTCATGTTAGGTCCTCACCTTACGCGGTCCTGGGGTTACGACAACAACCAGCACTGCTGGGATTTCGGTCACTAAGCGATGCGGTCATGTGACATTGTGCTTTACGACTGCATCACCTAGCGATACAAATCTCAGTCCCAATTGTCATTGTAAGACAAGGAGTACCTGTACTCTGTCATCCCAACTAGGCTACCTTACATATATATTGCAATCTGTGTGCAGGTGCAGAAGTCATAAAAGACAAGACCTCAGTCATGATACTAAGATTTTAGCATCAGACTGTTATTGTACATTAGATAATCTTACTTGTATCTGGTTGTTGATGTCATTTTTTCATGATTTTCAAGAAAACGTTGAAAAGACTCTTTTGCTTCTTTATATTTTAATCTTGCTTCTTCTTTTTCTTCTTTCTCTGTCTGGACTTTGTAAGCATTAAAGGCTTGCTTCTTCTCACTTAATTTTGCCAAAGCACTGCAAATTGAGGAAACACCAACCACAATTAGCCCTTTCATATCCAGCTTGTTGAAAAAAATAGTCATTTATACAATAAAACTTTTTAAATGATCTGGTGATACCTGTATCTTGGATCATTAATTATCATTTTCATAGCTTGTTCCCAAGAGGCATTAGATGGTACACGCTGTAAAAATATAAGATAAGTCACATAAGTTCTGGAACTAGCACTTTGTTTTCACAAATGAGGAACTGAAAAAGAACTGCTTTATCTTATGTAATTTGCTGGTATCTGAAGGAAATTTAGTTGCCTGGCTTGATATTTTACAATCAGGACAATTGATTTTTCCCCAATATAGTAAATTTCAATAGCGGTGACAAATATATAGTAGTGGTGGCAAACATCATGCACAACACACTTACAGTCAGGTCCAGAAATATTGGGACATCGACACAATTCTAACACCTTTGGCTCTATACACCACCACAATGGATTTGGAATGAAACAAACACAATGTGCTTTAACTGCAGACTGTCAGCTTTAATTTGAGGGTATGTACATCCAACTCAGGTTGCCTTTTCTAGAAATGATATGAGAAGGATGCTATGACACCACAGTGGTATACAGTCAGGTACAGAAATATTGGGACATCGACACAATTCTAACATCTTTGGCTCTATACACCACCACAATGGATTTGGAATGAAACAAACACAATGTGCTTTAACTGCAGACTGTCAGCTTTAATTTGAGGGTATGTACATCCAACTCAGGTGAACGGTGTAGGAATTACAACAGTTTGCATATGTGCCTCCCACTTGTTAAGGGACCAAAAGTAATGGGACAATTGGTGCCTTTTCTAGAAATGATATGAGAAGGATGCTATGACACCACAGTGGTATACAGTCAGGTACAGAAATATTGGGACATCGACACAATTCTAACATCTTTGGCTCTATACACCACCACAATGGATTTGGAATGAAACAAACACAATGTGCTTTAACTGCAGACTGTCAGCTTTAATTTGAGGGTATGTACATCCAACTCAGGTGAACGGTGTAGGAATTACAACAGTTTGCATATGTGCCTCCCACTTGTTAAGGGACCAAAAGTAATGGGACAATTGGTGCCTTTTCTAGAAATGATATGAGAAGGATGCTATGACACCACAGTGGTATACAGTCAGGTACAGAAATATTGGGACATCGACACAATTCTAACATCTTTGGCTCTATACACCACCACAATGGATTTGGAATGAAACAAACACAATGTGCTTTAACTGCAGACTGTCAGCTTTAATTTGAGGGTATGTACATCCAACTCAGGTGAACGGTGTAGGAATTACAACAGTTTGCATATGTGCCTCCCACTTGTTAAGGGACCAAAAGTAATGGGACAATTGGATACCCTCAAATTAAAGCTGACAGTCTGCAGTTAAAGCACATTGTGTTTGTTTCATTCCAAATCCATTGTGGTGGTGTATAGAGCCAAAGATGTTAGAATTGTGTCGATGTCCCAATATTTCTGTACCTGACTGTATACCACTGTGGTGTCATAGCATCCTTCTCATATCATTTCTAGAAAAGGCAAGTTAAGTCCAAGAATACTTTTGCCCAATTCCTGTATTTAAAGGTATTAACCTAACACTCAGAAATCATTATCTTTTTAATTCAGCAGTTATGTTTCAGCACTCACCAAGCATGAAGTCACAATGAATAAGCAGAATATTCAAAATTTTATGCACACCTAACTCCTCCTTCCCTACCCCACTGAATACTCTGGAAACATACAACTGTCTCGCCTACAAGCTGATAACATATGTCTACATTAAAAAACTTTCCTCCCATGGATTTTTATAGGATAGTTAGCATGACAGCTTTTAAAATCCATTCTGTTTAGAGATTAGTTTTTAATATTTACTTTTGCATAAATGTTCTTCAAGTTCCTTACAAAAATCAGCAACTCTCCTAATCAACTATTACATTGGTAATTCTTGAAATTTAAAGAATAGTTGACTCAGTATAAAAACCTTTTCTTTCAATAGTTCTTTAAATGCTTGCTTGGCCTCTTCTTTTGTATTCCAAGTATAGGTTTTTTTAACCGGCTGGGCTTCCTCTTCTTCTTTTTTGGGTACAACGCTATAGATTAAAAAAAAAAAAAAGTTGGTTATTTTGACAAGTAGCAGCTCTAATTAAATGGAATATCTCCTCAGGCAGTAATCATAAATATTAGGCTGATGCCTTTCCAAAAGTAACAGAATAGGCAGCAAGGTCCCAGCTAACCAACTCTGGGTTGGTTCCCAAGTACATTAACAGTCAGCTGATGCCCAACATTCACTTAGACAAATGGGACTGATACCCTATCTCCTGTACAGTTAACACTCTCAGGGCTGAGGGCCTCAACCTGCTGTCAATGAATTAAGCTGTGTATTTATGAATAGGTTTAAAGAAATACTCTTCACAAACAAAATCTATTTACTGATAATATATACCCAGTATGACAAAGTAATTTCAGTTCTGATAATACTCAGCTTTTTATCTGATAAATGATCATAGAGCTATGCTTGTTTTACTGAAAGCAACAAAAAGTTAAAGTTGACATTGACTTGCTTCTCTAACTCCAGGAATTCAAGACAGCATACATGGGGATCTTCTTTCATTTTATCCCAACAACAACACTATAGGGTACGTTGGACTGAGAGTAAGTATTTGGCCTAAAGCCACCCTAAGAGAAGTTGGAACTGAACCTGAGGCTTCCCACTACCTTAACCACTATACACTCCTTCCCTTTTTGATGCAGAAAAGATAGAGGTCTGTTTCAGCAAATGTGTTTGAGTAATTCTGTGAAGACAACAGGGTCATGGACTTAAATTTTTTGAAAAGAAGGTTCAAATGCACCATTACAAAGAATACAGATACATAATCTGAGGCTCAAGAGCCACACAGAGCCTATGAAAATCCTGACAGGCTCTTCAAATGTCCTCATTATAAAAATGGTAAATATTAATATGACACAAGAAAAAAGTATTAAATACATGGGGAATAATCTTTACTCACCTTAATTACCTTAATTTTAACTAATTTTAAGCTCCTGACTTAGCTTAGTAGCACATGGACAAGGCCACACTTGATTTTTGAACTGCATGTGAGAAGATATACCCCCAAAACTAAGTTGAGCCAGGGTTAAAAAAATGTGGCTGATTTGTCTAAAAATTTAAAATGCTAAATTTAATCAAATGCACTGATCCTAATTCAGATCTCTTTTGCTGTTATTCAAAAAAACAAAAACAAAAAAAACAAAAACCCAACTGGATAGCTTTAATCATTTTTAAAGCCATGAATAATATAGCATAGATTCTGCTCTGTTTTCTATCAAAAACTTTTAGTATATTAATGATAAATATGCAATCTAGTCCTAATGAAGAAATTTATATTCTAACTCTGTCAGTTTCTGCAAAAAGGGGTAGCAACTCTGATGAACACTGTTTTCTCAATCCTTAAAATAGGCCAGAAAACTGTGACCAGTCATGCAACCTACAAGCATCCCTTCTGCATCTCCCAGCTTCAGGAGCTATGCAACAGCAGAAGACGCATCTCTTCTGCAAAACTTTCTCAGAGCAGGCAAAACCAAAACGTTCAGCCTGTTTTGTGATCAAGTAGGATTTTAACGGCAAAATAGATGCCCCTTAACGTGGGTGCCTTTAAGAAAGTTAGGGTATCCCTTAAGCCCATCCTCCAAAATCAGTCCCCCTTTGAGTTTTGGCTCCTCCCATTTTTGGAATATAATTCTCAGTGTTATACAAAGCCCAATGTGGCCTCTGAGCCAACACAAGTTACATTTTCCTACTCTGAAGAACTCATTATTCAAAAGAACTAATCCTTTAATTCACTATAAACTACCTTTCCTGGTCAGTTCTTCAGACTACAGCAAAATGAACATGGCCAGCAACTTGCTCTCTTTTCACTGGATGTACCTGTCATGCAGTCTCTCAGAAATGAAATGAAGTTCGGGACATAAATTGCAATATAAAGGAACACCATATATAACACCAAGAGTTGGAAAAAGATTCCAGGTTTTGCAAGAAGGCTCTCTAGCAGGAAAGATAAGTGAAAGACATCCTGGAAACTTTCACCATCTTCCTTTTCTCTGCTAAAGGGAATGGAAAAGAAATTAAAAGACAACCTATTTCCAACATCTCTTTAACTAAGCCTCCATTGTGGCTCTCTTTCCTTACTGCACAATTTAAGGTGACAAGGCACTAGAAAGGTACTAGTGTATAAGTTAATAAAAACTAAAAAAAAAAAAAAGTACTTTCTTGTGTTTTCTTCTCCCTTTTTAAAAACAAAAACAAACAAAAAAACCTGTTTTCCTCCCAAACTATGAAAGATTCTCTTGAAATATAATAGCAGATGAGGTCATTAAGAACAATTACTTACTCTGACGATTCTTGCTTTGGAGTTTCTTCCACAGAGTTTGTGACAACTTCTGCACTCTGTTCTTGAACAACAGAAGGAGCTGTTGGCTGTATCTGCTCATCTGTTGAAGGAGTTACTCTGTTGTCATTTTCTATAACAGGAGCAACAGCAGAAGGTTCTGTTTCTGGAGCTGATGCAACAGCAGGAGCAGCAGGGGCTGATGGTACAGGTACTGGAGTTTCAGGGACACTGGCAGCAGCATTTGGAACCCCTGGTGCAACCGCAGCAGATGAAACTGGAACAGATTCTTCTGATTTACCACTACATAAATAGAAATCAATTTTGTACTAAAAATCCTGCCAATTTCACAAAGAGCATATTTTCAAATGTGTGTCTATAAATGCCTTTTCCCCGTGAAAAGTTGGATTTATAACTGATTTGCAAGACATGGATTACATCAGCCTTTAACTTTCTGCATCTCCTGCAGAGTCTGCAAGCCACAGCGTTTGACAGCACGAATGCCTTAAAAATTTCTACTAAAAGCCTAATGAACTCCAAGCTGATACAGAATCCTTCTTATCAGCAGTTCTATTACATATGGTTCCAGGTATCTGCAGTTGTAAATAGAATTCAAATCCTGGACACTTAATTTAGTAAACATGGCTATTAATTGTTAATAGATCTGTCAATTAATATACTTCTCAACATTTCAAAAGCCATTTAAACCATTAATCAGAATTATATTCTGTGCAAATAATGACTTACTAATAAATTAATTACACATGATATAAAAATGTGCTTTTATTATTCCTAACCTCCTGCTCATCAATTTCATTGGGTAAACTTAAAGTTACTCATTAAGACACAGGGCAAAGTCCTTCTATACATTCTATACCATTCAAACTTACAACTGCAAGCACCTTCCTTCCAAATCACAAAAATAAGTTGCTAATATATATTATTTTGTGCATACTTAATTAAATGATTTCTAAATCAAAATTTATATAGGTTGACATTCCGTTATCAATCAAGGTTTTCCTTGCAGCCTCAATACTAAGGTTTTTTGGCAGGAGTGACACTGTTTTGGCTTACATACAAATTCAATTTAAGGACAGACCTTGGGAACGGAAATTGTTCTTAAACTGGGGATATACCCATGTATATCTCACAACTCAAACTTCAAGAAACCTGTTTTCTAAATAAAAAATAAAAAACCCTTAAGGAACACATTAATAGCAAGTACTTCAGATTGTGACTACTAACTTCCTGAAAATTAAAAGGTCACAATACTGCAATTTGCTATCAACATGTACTCATTTTAACGGATTTTACAGATTATGCTAAATCATTTGCTAGGGAAACGTCAATTAGTTCCTTAGAAATGTTCACTTATTCAAAAAGGATATCCAGGAGCACCCATGCTTTGCTTATATCACAGTTAAGGAACAATTAATTCAGCATGCTGAGAAGCTTAAATTGGTGTAAATAGAGCAGCTGGGCTGCTAACTAATAATGATACAATACTAGTGTCATTTCAACCCCATTAAAAGATTGTCAATTGTTTCCTGAAAATAATTCAAAATGCTGGTTTCAGTCTTGCTGCCATATATAACTTAGAGCCTGACTAGGAGAGGGATCAGCTATCCAAAACCCTTTGGGCTTTCAGTTCAACAGGAAAGGCCCTTTTAAAGATGTCTACTTTGTCAAAGGAGCCTACTGAAAGTACTTTCTCCAAGATTGTATATAACCTCTACCCTTTCTGCTTGCAAACAAGCTTTTAAATACGAATTAATCATTTTTATCACTTTTGTCTGCATTTTAGTTTATTGGCTTTTTTTTTTTCAATCTCAGCTGCCAATTGTCTATTTATTTTGTACTGTTAGCCACCCAGTCACTTCCTTGAAATGTGTAGCCCTATGAATTGAATGAATATATAAAGGGTAGTATAATTATAATAACAATCATCATAATCTGTACATAAAAATATAAACAAATTTCTAAGAGAAAAATAAAGCATACTTTAATGATTAAATATGCTCTATTTGCATCAATTTCATATATTATTTATATATTTATAACATCACAATACTCAAGTTCATCATCTGTATTTTAGAATGGTTTGTGTATATCTATTCATTTATTTATTAAATTTAGAGGCCACCCTGCTCCAGATGAGTCTGGGTGGCTTAATTACAAAACAAAAGATAATAAAGGCAGAAAGAAAATCAGGAACTCCTCCCCTGGAATATCCAGAAGTACAAACAGAACACCTTCAAGAAAAGTATTTGTAAACATACCTGCTTTCTTCTGCTTTAATCATTGCTGTAAAAAAAGAAAACAAAAGAAGTTATCCACTCAAGATCAATAAGATTATATATTTAAGGTATTGTACATCATTTTAGAGACCAATCCTAAAATGCTTTGCATGTGAAAAATCATATATGAGAATTTAGTTTAAGTGAAAATGGTATAGCCTACATGTCAAAAGTATTTCATGAATGAATAACTTTATTTCAGGCCACAGACCCACAAAATGCAGTTTCAAAAATACACAGACTTCAGACTTCCAGGGGAGGTATGGCAAACTGAAGATGCCACTGCAAAAGTGGAGCTGATGAGCACGGCAAAGAGCAAGGAACCAACGAGTAGACCAGTGTCTTGGAACCTCTCTGGGATAAGGAGAGGACTGGAGATTGCCCACATGTTCTCCAGACAGCTGCTCCTCAGAAGGAGACTGCAGGACAGTAGTTTTCCATGCGTTTGATCGCTGGGAGACAAAGGGATTACACACCTTGCTTGCAACCATGGTAGAGCCTTATAAAGGACACTAAGTTTGCAAGCCTCACTTTCTAATCACTTTCAGCAATTGCCTATTAATATATTAAAGCTATTAGAAACCTTGGAACAACAAATTTGAAAAGTCATTGGGTGAGTTTATCTTCAACTCTGAACAAAATAAAAATTAATTATAACCTTAAGAACTTAACAAATTTGAAATAAACAGCAAAAAGCCAAATAAGATTTTGATCTAAGAAAGGTATAAATGTATTAATGGTTCAGATAAATTTGGAATATTGACTTTCACTATAAGATTTGGAATTAACTATAAAAAAATAAATAGCTTCTTGTGGGAAACAGACTTATTTTGGCTATCCTGGCTATTGTAAATCATAACAAAGAATAAATTACTTTATGATTTTAGAAACTAGACACTAAAGGGGACTACAGATTCTAAGCAGAAGAAAAAAAATATACAAGCCTGTTCTTGATGTCAGTTAATATTGGGACTTAGAAAATGACACAAACTGCTATGGCATCGGAAATATTAAAGGAGATCTTTGAAGAATGGAGCCAGAAATTAGTAACTACAATATCAACACTGTTAGTGTATCCATCGAAGCAGACATCATTACTATGTCCAAAAGATGTTAATAAAGAAATGACAGATGTGGAACAAATTTTATCTGACAAGACAGAGAAAGTACTGAAAATA